GCTTATTATTATATTTTTAGAATTTTTATTTATTATTTCAATTGTTATTATTTCCATAATATTATCTATAATTACTGACATCAATTTTCCTMCATTTTATTTCCTTTTTAATAAATAGAGCTACTCCACCACCTCTTCCATTACTTCTGTTCATAAAATAAAACTGCCTTTAAGTTGCCTTTAAGTCTTCCCTAACTTTGATCCAGATGTTTCAGTTACGTGTTCAAGTTGCTATAATTTTTTTGTTTGTTTTTTCAGTGACCTTGCCTCACGTGCGATGTTACAATTTTTTTCGTTAGATGTTCATTTATAAAGACATTTGTTCCCTTCAGTTTCCTTGCCTGCACCATCAGATTATTGGATGGATTGATGGATGTGGCAGGTCGAAATGTCCTCAGGTTTGATGTTAATGTCTTTTTTTGCAAAAAAAAAAAAAAAAGAGGTCAACCTGTTGCTCCAGAATGAGCAAATCTTGAGGAGCATCCTCTGTGATGCCTCCACTTACCACAGCTTTAGCATAGGTCCTGTGTTTCACTTCAAGTCCGGAAATGACCAAGTCATCTCTTCGTGAATATTGTTAGTTCGTTCACTTTTTATTTTCCAGTTCAGCTATTTTTCTGTCTCTGTCACTTAGTGCGATTTTCAGCTGCTTCACCTCCTCAACCAAACCGGACAGAAGTTCTTGTTGTGAAGCTAACCTTGACAGTTCAGCACTCTCATAAAGTTAAGTGACTTTTTTTTAATCTCCTCCATGCTGTCTGAGATGTTCTGTGGAGTCTGATCTTACCTGCCCAGTGCTTTTTGGCAGCATGGCTCACCTAGAAGCCAGGCAGTAGCTGCTCCAGGATCCGATGTCAGCAGTCCCAGCTCTGGACTCCCTCGCCAAGATAATAAAGCATTGCATATAGTATATTGCAGTGTTTCCCAAAGTTGGGGTCGGGACCCAAAGTGGGGTCCCGAAACATCAAGGTGGGGTCCTGAAAAGATTTTTTGAATTAATTACATTTTTGCCTTNAGTGAGGATTATAACGACGACGAGGATGTGAACAATCCTGACTCTCAGCTGAAGAATTTGTCAGTCTCTGTGCAAAAAACTAAACAAAGGAACAAAGAACGGAAGAATAGAAGAGCTCCTGARTCAGGAGTGAAGAGTGTCAAAAAATCTGTGAGATGCTCTGAGTGTGGTAAGAAGTGTGTCAACAACAGGTATCTTAAGAGACACGTGTCCTGTCATTCAGGAGACCAGACAGAACCAAAACTATTCCAGTGTAATGACTGTGATAAGAAATTTAAAAGAAAAAATATTCTAAAAGCTCACATGAGAGTCCACACAGGAGACAAACAATTTCCTTGTAATGTTTGTGGACAAAGTTTTAGTCGAAAGTCATATTTAAACCAACACATGAGAGTTCACACAGGAGACAAACCATTTCCTTGTGATGTTTGTGGACATAGATTTAGTCGAAAGTCACATTTAAACTCACACATGATAGTCCACACAGGAGACAAACCATTTCCTTGTGATGTTTGTGGACAAAGATTTAGATGGAAAACAAATTTGAAGTCACACATGAGAGTCCACACAGGAGAAAAGCCATTTCCTTGTGATGTTTGTGGACAAAGATTTAGCCTTAAAATAAGTTTAAACTCACACATGAGCGTCCACACAGGAGAAAAACCATTTCCTTGTGATGTTTGTGGACAAAGATTTAACCAAAAGTCAAATTTAAACAGACACATGAGAATCCACACAGGAGAAAAACCATTTCCTTGTGATGTTTGTGGACAAAGATTTAACCAAAAGTCATCTATAAACTCACACATGAGAATCCACACAGGAGACAAACCATTTCCTTGTGATCTTTGTGGACAAAGATTTAGCCGTAAAACAATTTTAAACAAACACATGAGAGTTCACACAGGAGACAAACCATTTCCTTGTGATGTTTGTGGACAAAGATTTAACCAAAAGTCAAATTTAAACAGACACATGAGA